AAAAAAATTGGATATGTGTCCAAGTATATCAGATTTTGCTGTGTATTTAGATGAATTTATATCTTTTGTATTAGTGTTTCTTGTGTGTCTGGTGTCCCAGTGCCTGATGATTACTTGAAAAGAATAGAGATTTGAAGGTTGCTCTTTGTTTAAGCTTGCTTTAGAGGGTTATTTCTTGTGTAAATGAAGACAGGGACCCCTTATAATTATTTTTCCAACAATCCTCAAGATTGTACTTGTCCATTATTTATTATTTATTCATGTAACGGGAGCCTCAATGAGCTTTAAATGAATTGAACACAAATCAAGTTTGAGTAGTCTTGTTTCGACTTGTGCTTTGAATTTAATCAAATATGAAGATATGTCCAGTTTTGTTTTGAGTAGTCTAAGAACTTTTGTTTTGAAAATATGAAAATTTAATTAAACTAAATTGATTGTTTGTTTATCACTAAGGCTAAGAAAATGGGATTAAAGATTCCAAACATAACTGAAGAGATTATGAGATTACTATTGTGATTGGTGAACAAGCATGATATGATTAGTGGACAAATGAATAAACTTTATGTTAATGATGAGGACTTTGGGTTGTTTGTATGAATTAATATTTGAATGTTATGTCTTAAATTTAATGTCCAAGTTAGTTTATAATCATTTCAATTATTTATTTGCTTGTATGATGATATATATTATTACTTTTGGCATTAAAGTGAATTGCTCGAATAGCTTACGCAACACGCTACGCAGTATAAAAACTAAAACGCGACGCAATACGCTATACGCGTTTTAAAACACTAGGTGTACATAGAACTGTCAAATAGGCCTATTAGTCATGGCCCATTGAACAAGGATAAAGTTTAACAGATCAAATGTTACTTCATTTCGTAAAATTAATGAATTTAAGCCCAATCCATAACCCAGTCCCGGCAGTCCCATTTAATTGTTGTCGAAAAACGACTCCCTGTCTCAACGCTCGTCTTCTCCGGCAACTTAAGGGTTAGCCTTCCATCTCTCTCTCTCTCTCTCTCTCTCTCTCTCTCTCTCTCTCTTATTTTATTTTTTTATTTATTTTGTGAAATTTAAATAAGCTCTATGTGGATATTTGGTTTTTCCCCTGAGGTAATTCGCGAGATTTCTGATAATTTACTGCTATAAATTTCTTCAGTTCTTGTGCTTTTATATAATGCAGAATGTGTTGTTTTCCGTGATTTTCCAGTGATGAAGGTATCTGTTTTGGTTCAGTCGCTAGTCTGTTGGTTCTACTTTAATGTCATTTTGCTGAACTGATCTAGTTTGCTCGTGTAAGGCTGGTTTATTATTATCCATTGAAGGACTCGTGATGCATAATTGACTTTTAATTTTGATTTGCCTACTAGCAGGGGTACGTTTTAGAGAAAGATTTGATCGTAACTTATCGAAATCAATGTGTTCTGAAATGCTGGTTTTTTGTCTTGCCCTATTTCTGGTTATAGGTCATTTTTGCTGTTGTAAACAATGGTGGAAACACTTTTTGAAGATATCTTCCGAGTCGATGCATTAAACCCAGATGGCAAGAAGTTTGATAAGGGTAAGATTCCGCGAGTTCTCATCCTTTCTGTACTCTTTGTGTGTGTGTGTGTGGCGCGTGTGTGCGCGCGCGTGCTTTGTGTGTCTGGGCATAGTGAGTACTGACTAATGTAGATGCAAGCACAACATGGGAAAGGGAATATGAAAAATAAATAAAGTAGAATGTGGAGTAGATGAAATGATGAGTGAGATCAAATGTCTTTATGAGCAACTGCCTTGATAAATTGCGAAATCGTGTGAAAGCTATTTAACTTGTTTCTGAATTTTACACAGATTCCTGTTGACCAATACAACCATACTATTACAGGCCAATGACTTTAAATGGATCCTTGCTATATTTGATCTTGAATATTATCGGCAGACCTTATTAAACAGGATGGAATTGGATCCAGAGATTTTGTTAAGAGCAGATTTTCTTGTTTGTTCTACGTTCTGGTTTTTGGTTTGTAGTGCTTTACACACAAATAATTGGCCAAGATAAATCCATGATGCCAAATTACTAGGATAGGCATGAATTGAATTACCGAATGGACCATGTTTGATTGTATTTCTAGTAACTTAAGATCCATTAGAAGCTTCAAATGGAGTTGATAGTATTTAAACTTAAATGATATTCGTGCTATAACCGCTAGTGTAGAAGTAGTACTAGAGCCTACTCTTAATGCTGTTACGTCAATCAAAATTCAAAGAAGGTTAGTAACTTGGTATAAAATATTTTAGGTGTGTACGTTTTGAAAATATTTATTTGCAAGCCTTAGTGCTGGTTGAGTACTTACTATCCAGTATTATATAAAATCTCCTCCCTGGGTTCTGATTTCTTTTCTGCTTTCGTGTTTGTACAACATGTGGCCATACCGGGATTTTAGCTTAATGTTTTTCATCATGGAAAATGTTTTAATATCTAATTCATGATATTGTTGTTTTATCTAGTCTCCCGCATTTCTGCTAGAAGTGAGCAGTTCGATATGGTCATGCACCTTGATATCAATACTGAGATCTATCCCATGCATGTTGGAGAGAAGTTCATGATGGTATTAGCGTCCACTCTAAACTTGGATGGAACACCCGACAGTGGTTACTATACCCCGGTATGGTTCGCAATCTGATTTAATTTGACTTTCCTGAGTTTCTCTGTCCAAGGTTCAGCTCATGTTATTGTACATACGCTTGTTTTAGGCTATAGAAACATGAACTTGGCTATGCTTTGAAAGTTTGAATTTAATGGAAGAATAGCAAACATGTGTCGTTACCGGATGATTCCAGAAGTCTATTTTTCAGTATGTTTCAATGGGGTATCTTATTTAAACATTGAATTTAATAGGTGTTTTGAATGCTTTCATGATACATGAGCTACTCATGGCTTTATGTTTGCTCGACTTGTTTCTTGTAGTCACTTGTTTGGGCTCATATATATTATATACTGGTCATAGTAATGTTAATATTTTAGGGGAGCCTTTGCTATGAGTGGTGTAAAAGACCACATTTAAAAAAATAAAAATAATAGAAATTTGTAGCTTCTTCATTTGATGAAAGTGCCCGCTAGTTCATGCAGTGAAGGAGACATAATATTCTAGAGCCCGTGACTGAAAAACTTGTTGTCTATATGATAGAAAATCCTTTCCTTGATCACATGTACATGCTCTTATGATGTTGATGCTCATTAGTAGATGATGATTTATCTATTTCGTTTGTAAAATAATTATTTATAAACCTTTCCCATCAAACTCTTTCTTCTTTCTTTATCACTGATGACACCGAACAAGTTTAGAGTCTTTTTTAAACACTTGATTATCTGGATGAATTTAAATTGTAAAAGTAGTTTGTGAGATATGTGATATGTTGCTGCCAACTATCATGTTATTCTTGTTCCGGTATAAATGTCATTGCTCGTGCAAAAGATTTTAAATTTCTAGTCTATTATCGATCTTTTTGTCTATCTGGTTTCAGGGAAACAAGAAATCACTTGCCGATAAGTTTGACTATGTCATGCAAGGTAAACTGTACCGAATCTCAGAGGAATCAAGAGAGAAGCAAGTTAAAGCGTATGCTTCTAAACCCGTGCAACTATACTCTATCACACTTTACATTTCCTTTTGTCCCGTCAACATTTTTTTTTTTTTTTTTTTGGGATTTATTGGCTCCAGGGATATATACGTTTCGTTTGGTGGGCTGTTGATGATGCTTAAGGGCGACCCCTCCATTGCCGCTAGATTTGAGCTTGACCAGAAGTTGTTCATACTCATTAGGAAGGTTTGAAGTACAAATATGTGCTGTGCTATCGAAAAACAAACCAAATAAGATGATTAATATGCTTCTCGATCGTCTGAGAATAACAACCATTCATGTGAGAAATTGTGAATTAATTCTTCGTAACCAATATATGTAGTGATGGCTTGTCCAATTAATGATGTTGTGTATGCTTTTTTTTTTTTTTT